GTTTGTTTTGTTTGTTTGTTTTTGAATTTCGCGCAAAGCTACACGAGGGCTATCTGCGCTAGCCGTCCCTAATTTAGCAATGTAAGACTAGAGGGAAGGCAGCTAGTCATCACCATCCACCGCCAACTCTTGGGCTACTCTTTTACCAACGAATAGTGGGATTGGCCATCACATTATAACACTGAAAGGGTGAGCATGTTTGGTGGGACGGGGATTCGAACCTGCGACCCTCAGATTGCGAGTCGAGCGTCTTATCCACCTGGCCATGCCGGGTCCACACACATGAAGGCTAAAGATCACACTGATTAATCATTCTTATTTCATAAACACTGCTAGCAGTGTTTAACATTTTATTTCTTCTACTTTATACGTTTTGTGTTAAAAGTCATTTTTAGAGCACGTGAAGAATATGTGAATACCGAAAAAACATAAGTATTTCCAGTACGTGGCTATGACACTGGATTAGAAACGAAAGTTAACCCAATTGGTTTTAATAATTTACAAGGCACGGTCTAAGCCTGTATGAAATCTTTATTTGATTATTATTACTTAATTTCAATGGTTTTTTTTTCTTTTCATTAAATATTTGAATTATTTAATATTTTTTTCTATTTCAAGCTCTTGAAAAAGTAATTTTATAACAGTTTAGTAACCATAAAACGCGTAGTCAACATATCTGATGGAAAAAAAAATAGTTATAAGAATTAATGCAATGTAGAAACATTAAATTTCAAAGGACAACAGCTAAGATTACGAGGCTTTGAGGCTCAAAATGGTAGATTTCCCGTTGGGTCAGCGGTAAGTCTGTGGAGTTACAATCCTAAAATCCGGGGTTCGAATCCAGCGGTGGACACAACAGATAGCCTAATTTGGCTTTGCCTTAAAATAAATAAATAAACAAACAAACAAAGTGTTATTAGAACGCTTTCCGATGGCTCAGCTACAAGTCTGAAAACGTATAACGCTACAAATTGGGTTTTGATACTCGCAGTGGGCACAACACAGATAGGCCATTCTGTAGATTTGTGCTTATCAACAACAATTAGAACACACGATGTTAGCGGTAGCCATTCTCAAACGTTTGTCTACGATCTCTTCTAATACTTAGCATACTGTTGATACACTTAATGGTACGATCCTTAAAAAAAAATTGGCTAGATTCTTACGTTGATGATCTGGTTATATGTCGTACACATAAAATCCATTTACCTTTATTTTACATGCTATTTTATATACGAAGTAAAGCAAAGTTGAACTGTGAGCATTTATATTGACTTGTAGAGCTCAGCTTACACTATTCACTTCACCAAATAATTCCAACTTTCATAACATAGTTTTATTGTCTGTTGAAATATTAGATTAACAATAAACTCTTCAACAGTATTCTTAGAATATAACCAGAAACGTGCTTCAAACTGACCTCGTCATCACTGATTACACTGACAGTTTGCATGACCTGGTGATTAGGGGGCGTTCGACTCGCAACTGAGAGTCGCGGGGTTTGAATCCTTGTCACTGAAAATGCTCGCCCTTTCATCCATGAGGATGTTATAATGTGACGGAAAATCTCACTATTCGTTGGTAAAAGAGTAGCCCAAGAGTTGGCGGTGGGTGGTGTTGGCTCAGTGGCAGAACAAGCAATTCAGGAGCCCCGGGGCATTGCCCCGTCTGCCCCACGCTATTCCACCTCTGCGTTGACTAGCTGCTTGTCCTATAGTCTATCACTACTAAATTAGGAACGGCTAGCTTAGATGGCCCAAGAAATTGTAAAATCACTAGATCACTCAAACATGAACAACCACTTCATGAACATAGTAAATAATTATATCACAACCAATCGTGGTATATATATACACCACACTTCACTAAGGACACTCAACACAATAACATAACAACAGAAGCGGAACACGACTACACAACAAAACAACTTATCAAACCCATCACGGTATCAAAAGTACAAGAAAACATAAAACTTTTGAAAAACAAAGTACCAGAACAAGAGAAAATTCAAAACACATTACTCAAGAAAGGCCCACTGAGATTATTAGAACATCTCACATCTTTATATAACTTATCTTTAAAAACAGGATACATACCAACCGCTTGGAAATAGACCGATGTTCTTATATTCCAGAAAGAAGGAAAATCAGCTAATAACCATGAAGATTACAGGCCCATAAGTCTAACAAGTAATCCAGGACAATTACTTGAAAAAATCATGAATACTAGACTCATAAATTACCTTGAAACTAAATCAATACTCCCGGAAATACAAAATGGGTTCCGAAAAGCAAGACAAACAACAGATCATCTCATTAGATTAACGGAAGAAATAATACACGGCTTTAATAAAAAAAAACAATGCACAGTCGCATGTTTCTTAGATGTTTAAAAAGCATTCAATAAAGTATGGCACAACGGACTCAGTTACAAGCTGTCCACACTGGGGCTCCCCATAGTAAATATTCGCTGGGTTTCTAACTTCCTGAACGATAAGAGTTTCAGAGTGTGTCCCTCAAGGAGGAGTACTTAGCCATACACTGTTTATCATGTATGTCAGCGACATGCCTCTCAAAGACTCAAACCACATTTTTTGCACACAGTTCGCAGATGATGTTGCAATCTGGAAGAGTGTCCCAAACCCAACAACAGCAACATACAATGTACAACCATTACTAAACGAAATAGAATTGTACTGCAGTAAGTGGAGAATTAAAAAAGTCATATTATTTACAAAATCGTACAAAACAAGCAAATTAATATCACGGTTATATCTAGACGGGATTTTCTTTCAGGTAGCAAGATCAGCAAAATTCTTACATTTGACTCAAAGTTAAACTGAATACAACACAATAATAGCATAAAAAAATAGAATTTGAAAAGTGCGAGCTACCTTAGGAGCCTGACTGGCAACAACCACGGAGCTTCACCAGAAAACATATTAAAAATGTACAAAACATACATAACACCAGTCGTAGAATGTGTCTGTGTAACATGGTTAAATGTATCAAGAAACACACATCAACAAAATACAGCAAATACAAAACTATATTTTAACGAAAGAGTATGGAGTCCCACGATCAACAAATTCAGAATTTCTACATTGTTATTCAAACACGTCAACACTATCTTACAGACTCATAGATAACTCGCTTCAATATTATGATAAATATATTATTAAGAATGTACTCATGAGCAAACTAGTGAGTTAAATAATACACGATGAACCAAGTCATAAGTACCTCTCGCCTCTAAACATCATAAATAAGAAACTTGCAGGGCAAACAATGCCAGGTTAACCGAATCCTAGACACAAACGTATCTCTATTTTAAAAGTGTTTTGTATGTAAAAATAGGATTATGTCTGTGTGTGTATATGACTGATAAGTGGAACTGTATTGTGAACACGGACTAATAGTGCGATCATACATAAGTGAAGTTAGTAAAAATATACAAGTTAATATTACCACATGAATTGGACATGGCACGAAATTGGTATGTTAATTAAAACTGCGAATAATGGACAAAATGTAACATACTGTGAGTGATGCAACAACAACATAACAAGGGTTAATACCAAGGATTCAGTAACAGTGCAAACAAAATAACAATTCCAGAGAGGGAGGAAGAAGTCAACAGTGAACCTGACCCTCCATAGTCCAAAACATGGACCGAATTCTGATGAAGAATAAGAGAGACAGTAAGAATGCTCAATACGAGGGCTATTTAGAGTAATGTTTACAAATGGTAGCGGTTGTATCAAGTGAGAATCGAAACGTAATTATAAAATCAACTGATATACAGCGTAGCATGCCATAGTGAACTCCCTAATAAGTAACACAACACACCTTAAGTTCAGTTTGTATGATCACTGAATCAGTATAACGTTATACACGTTCAAAGTAATTATTACAACATGTAAAACATTACAAGAAATACAACAGATTAGTAACATTTAGCACTTATGTTAAGGTGTGTTCAATATGGCTCACCCTGTAATTTACGTATTTTTCTGAAAATGTTCTCTGATGAATATTCTACTGTATAATTTATATGTTTACATTGTATACCTAATAACTATATATATACATATATATATATATATATAAATGATATCTAAAAAAACAAGCTATCAAAACATTAAAATAGCTTGTTGTAATTTTTAAAGCTTGATAAATTTAATGCTCACCAGTGTGTGTGCTGCTTCATAAGATGATGAATAGCTAATCAACATAGAAATCATCCCTGACAATTAACAGGTACCTGTACCCCATGATCTATAACTATCTACTTACTTGCTGCTTAATCTTTACACGTAAATGTTTTGTCTAGGCTGATTTCCACAGATCACAGAGCATCAGATTTGTATTCCACATGGGAAAATCTGAGATGTGGTGGTGAAGAATTATTTCAGTAATGTCTATATAGCACCTGTTCACCAAAGATTGCCTACTAAGACATCTTTTAGACAATTCTCTGCTAGGTTGGTGTCTACGGGTCGTTGTAAATGGGTAGTTAGAATGTCCAAATTGAAAAGGATAATGGCTTCAATTGAATGAACGGTATTTACATTGCAAAGTGATAGTGAAAAAAATTGCTTTGTAAGCATTGTTGGTGTTCTGTGATCATGTTGAAACTTGTGCATTACCATAGGAAGCATTTTTTGTGTGATTTTCCCCGCGGTTAATACAGAATATAACCTAATGTGACTTTGCTCTAAAATAACAATTAAACAAACAAAACATTTTGACCAACTCTAAAGGTATAAACGTAGATGATATTGGTGTGAACATGATATATGCTGGCTGATGTTCCATCAGTGGTAAAGAGTAATACATAAGTACTTTTATAAATGTTTATACACTTTAGGCATATTTATCCTTCCTCTATAAGACACTTACTTCCTTATTTTAACGGCCTTCGCTGTTTATATCTTGATGTTATTTATTCAGTTATCATGAAGAGATCTCTCAGTTTTAAAACAAAGATAATGTTTACAGAACCAAGATGTCAAGCCATTTGTCAACAAGGAGATAACCAACAAAGACAAGCGAGCTATGGCTTTTTTTCCAATGAGGGGCCGAAGAGAAGACGAAGAACAACGAACCAGATTGTTTGAAAAGAAAGGCCAAAGTGGAAGAACTATGAGATTCTATAGTATGAGAGGCAAAAAGGATCAAGCTAATGAAGTTAAAAGAGCAAGCTCCTTTTACGGTCTACGAGGAAAGAAGGACGAGTTGGACGAGAAAAGAGCTAGTTCGTTCTTTGGTCTACGAGGAAAGAAGGACGAGTTGGACGAGAAAAGAGCTAGCTCGTTCTTTGGTCTACGAGGAAAGAAGGCTGGTGAATGGAAACAGGGGAGTTTTTTCAACGACGTCCCAACAAACAACTATTATGGAGAGGAAAACGGACATGAAAACCAAGAGGGTATTGACGATTACGTCAACAACTTAAAACAAGCTTTCTTGAGAAACCAAGTAGGCGAAAACAACCCTTATCTTCCAGAGAGTTTAGATGTTGACAGGAAACGAGCAGGAGCATTCTTTGGAATGAGGGGGAAAAGAAATGCGGAGCGAGATGATAAATCGGGATCGAAAGAGGTACGAATGGTTTCAGGTTGGTGTTAGCTGACAAAATATAGTATGATTTCAAAGTATTTGTACATACACAAACATGCATACATATATAACCTATAAAGTTACTATACACTACTAATAAAATCCAAAACATCAGTAAAGTTAGAGTGCAAGACTATAGGATTGAGCTAGCTAGACTTGTGGAACTTCAGAGTTTTAGTTCGTTATATTATGTGGTACCACAGAGTTTCAGTTCGTTATATTATGTGGTACTACAGAGTTTCAGTTCGTTATATTAAAACAACGTAGAGCATTACCAAGTCGTTTCAGTCCATGTCGGTATGTACGGTCAAGCTCTATCTGACTACCATGTAGCACAGTTTGATTCCAAAGCGATCCGTCTTAAGACAGTCATGTCCAAATCACACCCATTCTCCCTGCATAGTTTCCATAGTTCATATATTATACGAAGATGGCGATTTTCAAGTGCGCGTCTCAACAGTTTTATCGCACAAAAATCCATAGGCGCTACATCAGGTGACTTGAGCGATATGTTTTAGCATGTACGCACTTTTAACTTTCCATCCGCTTGAAGTATGCGATATTTTCTATTATATTAGTCGGACTTCACTCCTTTACGTTTACTGATTTATTATTACTGTAAATACAGCTAGACCTAAAGTGGCAAGATTAAGCCTAACAATTCAGATACGTACTTCCACTTTTTTGTATTTTTAGTTTTTCTTAACAACAGTCACTTTAACATAAACCAAATGAAGTTTGGTACAATTTTAATATTTATGTATAACACATATCTTATTGTTATTGTTATATAATTATAACATTTAATGTATCACATATAATATTTTACACGCCTTTAAAACATAGTATATATAATATGATAGACAATACTTAATGTATAACATAGCAAAGAATTAGGAAGGCAGAAATTTTGGCTAGTGTTAATTTTCCTCGTCTTTTTAAAGTTGAAGGACAGTTGCTAATTAAATATATTGGAAATTATTATTAGAAAAACCTTAAAGAAAGTTTTGTGTAGAAGAAGAGCCAGTGTCTAACTTAATTGTATTATAGCGGCAGAAGTGACAATATTAAATACATTTTATTTACATTAGGTGCTTGAGGTAAAAGACAAAAATGTATAAAAATCGTAATAAAATTAGCAAAATGATAAACATAATATTAAGATAAAATAAATAAACTAGATATAAATAAGCAAATAAGTGAATGCCTTCCTCTGATTGGTGGTTCAGAATTAGAGATAGCGCTACTCTACGCTGTCGAGACGAGACGCCATTATTGTAAGGAACAAAGACTTTTTAGCCAGTGGTAAATTCTTCTAGCGTGTAAATCATCCATCCCTTCATCTAAATCTTTATAATGGTCTACAAGTTGTGAGAGATTTCTTCTTTAAATCTATTACAAGTACTATTAATCACGTAATTAGATGTTCATTAAATTACACTTTTAGCACCTGCCAAGTTTTAGGTATGTGAACAATGTGCCGTGAGTTTTTGAAATTAGTTTAAAATACAGTTTTCCCCCTTTACACAGTTACCGTCTGTTTATATATAGGCTTAAGACAGTGCCACTATGTTTCGATTATAGCTCTAGTGTTTAGTTTTAGTAACATTAGAGTTACTGTAACTTGTAAGTTGAATTGCAAGCGCAAGGAGTAAATTATCACTAATTTTATTGTTAATGTTAGCTTAGTTTTGTTTGGTATATGTTCAGGCATAAGTTTGACACAGGGGCTAATCCATTGGTAAGGCAAGTTCCAGTATTAAACACCTGGATTCTAATTATGTGAAATATTAGGGCAGATAAATCACTGGATAAGGGATCAACAGCTAACACAATTTAAGTCTGAAAGCTGTATTAGATAGTGCCACACATATTGGGTCGGTTAATAGATTATCAAGTGGAGGCGATACTTCACCACAATCTCTTACTAGAGGGCGGAAACAACACAGAGATGTCTAGAAAGGTCCTACACCAGAGAGGCTTATCGATACTGGGAGAGTATCTTTAATCCCAATGACCAGTACACACCACTATTCTAGACTACTGGTCAAGGCTTCTCGATGCTGGGAGAGTATATTTAACCCTAATGACCAGTACACAGCACTATTCTAGACTACTGGTCAAGGCTCGATGCTGGAAAAGTATCTTTAACCCTAATGACCAGTACGCAGCACTCTTCTAGACTACTGGTCAAGGTTCGATGCTGGGATAGTATCTTTAACCCTAATGACCAGTACACAGCTCTATCCTAGACTACTGGTCAAGGCTTCTCGATGCTGGAAGAGTATATTTAACCCTAATGACCAGTACACAGCACTATTCTAGACTACTGGTCAAGGCTCGATGCTGGAAAAGTATCTTTAACCCTAATGACCAGTACGCTGCACTCTTCTAGACTACTGGTCAAGGTTCGATGCTGGGATACTATCTTTAACCCTATTGACCAGTACACAGCTCTATTCTAGACTAATGGTCAAGGCTTCTCGATGCTGGGAGAGTATCTTTAACCCTAATGACCAGTACATAGCTCTATTCTAGACTACTGGTCACATTTGTTAGGATGTGCAGAGATAGGAAAAGCAATTAAAAACAGTGTACAGACATGTGTCCCTAGGAGTAAAATGGAATCATGCACCCAGTAGGGAACCTCGATTATCCAACAGGAGACGGAGAATAACAAATAAACTAAGGCCTACACATAGTGCTGGTAAAAAATGTATATGTATATGGCGCACAAGACTCAAGCAATCTCACTTTATAATGTTTCACTGCAATATTATTTGGGGGGAGGGTCATAGAAAGCAAACACTGCTTGGTAAGTTCTCTGAATTTTATACCGTCGTATTCTTTCAAACTCTGAAATACTGAGGAGTTCACCCTCATTGGCTTTAACTTCGTACCATACGCTGACCCGCAAGCTGGGATAGCCATTGCAGTTTGACAAAACAGCAGCAGTCATTATGTACCTTATGGCAGCTCTCAATAGAACAATCAACATTGCAAAATATAAACTTTCTAGACAATTCACCAGTTTGTACACGGTACATGAAAAGCAACAGCACATCAAGCTGAAAACTGTAGGTTCCTACCTGACCTGTCTAACAACACTTCTATATTTCGGACACCTCACCTGGGATACAGGTAAAAACACAAGTGAAAAGTATTTATATTCTACTTTCCACACTAGAACTACCAAACTTACATTGCTAAACACGGGGGAACCAAAAAGCATCACTGAGTGACAAGGCAACAGAAACTCCTGTATAAACCTGGTTTTGGTTACCAAACCCATATTAGTGGAATAGTGATACTGATAAAGCCTGTAAGAATGGAATAAAGACCAGACTGAATTTATGTGGATAAGGCGTGACCAATCTTGGATAGAGGAAGCAAGAAATTCCAAAATTAGAGCCAATACTCCCTATAGGTAATCAGCTTTCAAAACACACGACATGAAATGAACTATGCAGCAAAGCCAATTTCACAATTGCTTCGTTTAAGCATTTCCACAAACTTATGGCTGGCACAGGAACAAACATCATGCCAATGTCAGTCATTTACAGTTATGATGGTACCTCCACTTCGCACAGATGAAGACAAAGGCAAAGCTTTCATGCATAGATACATTAACCAATGTGACTATAGTGGCATACAGGTAAAGTACAAGCTACAGCAATTCCTATCTGAGCTACAAATACACGCAGGTATGAAAGTACTGTTTAACTTGGATGAGATACACGGAGCCATAAATATGCCTTTTAAAGATGGAGCTCCAGATCTTAATAGTATACAGCTGAAGGTGGCGTTGAGTATCAATGTAGTTAGGCAACGGGTAGCATTCCTTAAATATGGACTGATGCTTTTAACAAATCTTTACCCAAACATATGAAGGATCAATCTTGTCTTCAATGTCATGAAATCGTTCTACAAAACATCATTGATAAAATCTTAAAGAAGGCTGTAGTTAGAATGTTTGCTTATAAAATTGAACTACTAGTACTTTCATCATTAGATGGTTATCATATTACCAGAGAAACTGGATCAACTCTGCTGAATTCACAGTTGATACATAGGAAAGTTTTGTAACAGCTCATAACACCTTGGGAGTAGCCCTAGAACTGGAAAATGCCTACAATAAAGTCCATCTGCTTATTCTTGCTGACAAAATGCTCAGAACAGACATCAGTGTAACATGTGTCAGATGATTCATAACTGCACTAACTACCAGAAGATGCATCATGAAGCATGGAAACTAGCAATAAGTCTGAATCACTGGTCTACCTCAAGGATCACCATTCTCACTGGTCCTCTTCCACATCTATTGTAACTACAACTTATGTAGTTAAACTTGCTTCTTTTAATTCAATACATTACATTGTATGTATGCAATATTTGTAGTTAAAATGGCTCAAGATTCAATCTCATAACATTAAATTTGCAGACCTCCCCCAGAAGTGGCATGCCTCGCGTGCTGGTAGTGTGCTTTGCACACATCGTGTGTCACAGTTTAGGTGTGGCAATGGCCTAAACAATGCTAAAGTCTAGGGTTCGGGTTCGTAAACTTCTTGGCTATTGGTTGTTGTTTTTAGGGCAAAGCCACATTAGGTTATATTCTGTATTAACCGCGGGGACTCGAACCCTGGACTTTAGCATTGTTTGTCCGTAAACTGGCCTGCCGCGGAGAATCGATTTAAATCTTTTAGACTTACCGTCCCCCCCACAAACTTACCGGTAACACACCTGGGGTCAGGT